TATAAATCCAGTCCTCCTCCTTCTTCTTAATTGAAGTGCTGGAGAGCCTCTGCTGCGGAGTGTGCTTCGTCTTCCAGTTGTTCTTCTGTTCCCACCTGGGCTTGTGGAAAACCATCGATCCTGTGCAGCAGAGGCTGTCTGGCACCAGCATGCCCAGAACCCATTCAGAAAAGCCTAGCCAGAGTTTTTGAACAGTACACAGGCAAGGAGTCAAGAGGGTAACGTTTTCAAATTTGCTTTTTATTGTGTGGCAGTCATTGCCAGCAAAGCTCCTCTGCTGTCTGGAGAGGAAGCCATGAAGACATGGGGCAGGAACGGGAGGCGTGGGCAGTTGCTTGAACCAAGGAAGGACAGAAGACTTGTTGGGGTGAACTGGTGGACATGGAAACGGTGGCGGAGCAGGTGGGCAAAGTGTGCCTATGTGGACAGATGAAGGGAGAAGAAGTAGGGGGCCGGAAGAAGTACTGGAATTGGGAAATTAAGTGGATAACAATTCTTGAATTTTGAGGTGGCTGAAGGAATCATTATATATAGCAATGAGAGAGAAAGCCCACAGAGTTGGAGGGAAAGACAGACCTCCCCTGCCTTCTCCCATTCACTGAACAGTTTAGTTCTCAATGTCCTGATTCTAGAGTGCACTTCACATTCCAGTGGAAACTGATGGCATCAATGACGTTACCCGAGCGGCCACTGAGATATGACAGGACAGCTCTTGGAAAGACTGGAAGGGCAGTAAAACTGGTGCCTGCGTCGGCTCCAAAAGAGAAGCGGCGTCCAAGGTTGGTGAGGAATTCAAGTTTGCGGAGGTACTTAACAGACCTCCCAGAGACTTGGACGATGGACTCTCCGGGCTCCAGTGCAATCGTGTGCAAGTCACCTGATTGGCCTCCCACATAGTCGCTCCACACCTTCCCGTACCGGACCTGGAGGCTGGAATAAGGGAAGAGTTAGGGTGGGCTTCAGATCTCTTCTGCTGCCTTTGACCTGCTGCTATCCAACACCCTTGCAGGGACACTCGTTGACTTCAGTGGGATACAAGTTGTGTCTTGGATGGTAGCCATTATGATCTATGTGCTCACCTGATCTGAAGACACTGTGCATAGTGTTATCATCAATATATATCAAGAGCAATCCCCCTGCCCCGTGCCCAGGGCTCACATTTCCCTGTCATGACAGAACCGGAGTGAGAGAAGGAAGGCTGAGATCTGAAAAAGAGCAGGTAGCCTTCCTTTCAAGCCACTCTGCCTACACCCTCCTCCCACCCTTTCCTATGGGCAGTATCTGTAGCATCCCTCCCCCCCTCTCCCTTTTGCGCTCTCTCTTCCAGGAGGAACCTTTGCAAATGGGAGGAGCCTTTGCAGGTAAGGAGGAGGCTCCTGCCATGATGGGCAGCCCTCTGTCACTTCCACTACCCACCCAGCCAGCGAGGTGGGAGGGTTCATAGGGGGTGAGGGTGGTGGTGTATTGGTTTTTACTGATGTATAGATTGGAAGGTTCACAGGAGCCTATCACAGGAGATGTCATTTTTGCGTAGTTCCGGCGCGCCGGAATCGGGGCCCGGGGGAAACCCCACCCCCGCGTGTGCGTCACCCGGAAGTGACGTTGCACGCTGGGGGCGGGGTCACGCCATTTGAGGGGAAAACTCTTTGTTTTCCCCTCAAATGGTGTGGCCCCGCCCAGCGTGTGACGTCACTCCCGGTGACGCTCCGGCGGCGCGCGCGCACACACACAAGGACGACTCCCGGACAGGAAGGAGCCTCCCCCGCCGGTGAGTCAAATACATTTAGCAACCCTAGACCGGAGATGAGAGCTCACTCCGTCATGCGGCACTTGGGTCTCAAACTGCTGAACTACCGACCTTCCGGTCTGCAGTTCAGCGTCTTAACCACTTGAGCCACCACATCCTCTTTCTTAGGACCCAGCAAAATGACACAAAACAGCAGTTGCATCCTTCACACAGCACTGAAACCAGGGAGGGTGGAATCAGGCAGGAATGGTGTCCACATTCCCCACTCCTGTTCCGCTTGCTGCTGCTGAGCCCTCACCCCATCCTTCCACCGTTTCTCAAAAGAGCATATGCGGCAGCCATCACAACACACACACAACCCCTGTATCCCAAATCCCCTCTTTCCCGATAAACTTCGCTGCAGTGGAACTTAGCTCAGCTGCACTTCCACTGGAGCTGTGGGCAAAGGGTCCAGACGCTACTGCACTACTGCAAGACAAGTACCAGTTTTGGAGAATGGGTTAAATCAAGAAAGCAGCTGAGGAATCCAGAGGTATGAACCTCACAAAGAGATATGGGAAATATCTGCCATGAAGCATGTCAGATTTGCATTTCTTGTCTATAAATGAAAGTACCTGCCCAGAGAAGTGTGCATTGCCACCTGCTGCACAGAAGGGTCACAGACAAACATGGCTCAGTATATAATTATATGATTATAATTGGAGGGGGGCTGTGGCTCAGTGGTGGAGCATCTGCTTGGCATGCAGACGGTCCCAGGTTCAATCCCTGGTATCTCCAGTTAAAAGACCTGGCAGTTAAAAGACCTGGCTGTCAGTCTGAGTAGACAATACTGACTTTGATGGACCAAGAGTCTGATTAAGTATAAGGCAACATCACGTGTTTTCATGTTCATTTATACCCCTCCGAACACAAGGCTTCCCATGGTCTATTAAATATGAACGCCACGCAGGATTTTGAATTGGGATTAGAACACGCTCCGAACATGTTGGATTCCAGGGCCTCACCGGATTCTGCCACGGGTTTAGGATTAGTTTAGGTGGCTGCAGCTCTTTCACTTTCATTTCCCTCCTGTTCACAGCCATGACAATTCACCAGTGCTATCTCCTCCAAGAGAAATGTTACAGACACTGCCCTGCATTTTATATCACCAAGGAAAACCTTATTGTGCATTAAACCAATCAATGGGACTAATTCTCCCCCCCACAGACACACACTAGATATCCAGCCTCCAAATTTTAAATCCCTGGCTCTGGATCTTCATACACTTACCCTGTAATGTATAATCGGTTTGTACGGATCTTAAGGACAGTGATGGGCCCATCCAATTGGTTTGCGGCATGCGAGAAACGTTTTCCTCCATTTCCCCCATACTCGCCAGAATGGGAAGCAGAGCGTTTCTTAATCAGCCCTAAAATAAGTTGCAGAGGGAGGAAAAGGTAATTAAAGAGCCAAGGCCCAGCAGGTTCCCACTACCCAATGAGGACACCCCGGGGGGGGGGAGTAATTAAAGAGCCAAGGCCCAGCAGCTTCCCACTATCCAATGAGGACACCCCCCATCATTCAGAATATTGACCAGCTGCTGGGTTTTACCTGCACTGATGGAGATGGCACAACAGAGTAACATGAGGATGGCGAAACGAAACATCCTGGAAAGAAAGATTCAGAGGGTGTCATGATTAGGGTTGCCAAGTCAAAAAAACTCACCGGCGGGGAAGCCTCGCCGGGCTCCAGGAGCCGTCCCCGGATGCACGCTACTAGAAGTTACACGCAACGTCTACCACGTTGAGGGCGTGGCCCCGATCATCAGAGGGAAAACCATAGAGTTTTCCACGACAGCGGAAATCAGGCCTCCACTTGGGAGCCCTAGTCATGATCTGAGCTCTGCCACCAGAGGCCTACTAGGCCCAGGGAGCCTGACTAGCAGTAAGGGAGACTGGGCCTACAAACCCCAGAAGGCCTTGGGAAGTTTTGGTGCTGATTTTGACTAATAGGGAAGAGAGGGCTGGGGAATATAGGAACTGGTTTTCCCAAGAGGGAAAGCTGTTCTTCTTCTCAGGGAACAAAGTCAGAAGGGACTGAGGCTGCTGTGGGGAGGAAACCCTCATCCTGAGGGAAGGGTGAATAGTCTAAGGCCACTTGATAGTGAGCTAGGGACAGTATATATTTAGACGTGTTAGGGCATTTAATTTCTTTTCTTTTCACCCACTTATTGTTATTATTCTGCACCTTGTTTGTTTGACCTCCTATAAAAATAAATTATTTTCATTGTTCACTCTGCCTGGTCCTCATGCTTATTATTTGGCCAAAAGGGAGAGCTAAAGGCCTGGGAGGGTGCTTTGGGCCTTCTCAGAGGAGCCTGGAACCAGAGTGGTGGCAGCATCAGGTGACACCCCACCTGAGCCGTGACAGAGGGTAATTGTGATCTTAAAGCCTACAGCTTCCCGTTCTCACAGGGAAACTTCATGTAGGTTTGGCAACGGTCCTGTAGAAAATATGTCCCGACCTGTTAAATTACATCTTGTTAAACATCAATTAAAAGACAGGATATTTTTTTCTTCAGGCAGGACTTTTTTTCTCCAGGTAGCCTAGCTCCAGAATTTATCAGGAAGGTGTTTGAATTAGCAGTTGAGAAGCAGAGGTCCCTCAGTTAGCTCATGATTTTGCTCACAATCCTTTTTAAAAAATAAACATTGGCTCCCTCTTTAACACAAAAATGACTTCTGGAGGCTTTCACCTACTTATTCTCTTTCTCTCCCTGGCCCTTCATACTTTCTTTTGACTCCTCTGAAGTGGTACCTTTGTTCTCCATAAACCACAGATTACATTTGTTAAATTCTCTGACACTGTTCTTTCTTCCTCACAGCTGGAATACAAAAGAAACTCCTTACCTTCTGATGTCTACCTCCTCCTTCAGTGAATGCGTTTAAGATAGCATCTCTTAATAAAAACACCAATTTATACTAAGAGTGAACCTCCTCCTTTATCTGTTTATCCCCCCCCATTCCCTTACAAACCTGAGGGGATGGCCTGATTTGCTTACTTTGTCTGTTTACTCTAGATATTTAAAATCAATATTTAAAATAAGTTAAATAAGTTGAGAAGGTATACTTTATCACAAAATATGCCTGGAAGTATGCATCATGAACACACACCTTAATGCGGTAAAGGAGCCTGAGTGTGTCAGTGAAGCTGATAGCAAATACTGTCAGGAGTTTAGACTCTGCCAAGTGGCTAAAGTCCTGGCAGAGTCACTCAAGGGGGGATTATAAAAGCTGACCAAAACCGAAAGGGGGGAAAAACCAACCTGAAGAAACAACAAAGTTGGGTACCCAAAGGCTGAATGAGAGAAAATTATGAGAAATAAATTAGACAAAATATATAGCATGGGTTTCTCAATAACAAGTCATGTCAGACTAACCTTATCTCTTTTTTTCAAGGAAGTTACTACCTTACTGGATCAGGGGAATGCTGTAGACATAGTTTATCTTGATTTCAGTGAGGCTTTTGATAAGGTTCCACATAATATTCTTGTTGACAAATTAGTAAAATGTAGTTAAAAAGGTAAATGTGCTTTGGGGCTGTATCAACAGAAGTTTAGTGTCCAGATCACATGAAGTGATGGTATAATTTTACTGTGCTCTGGTTATACCTCACCTAGAGTATTGTGTTCAGTTTTGGGCACCACAATTTAAGAAGAATATAGACAAGCTGGAATGTGTCCAGAGGAGGGCAACGAAGATGGTGAGGGGTCTGGAGACCAAGTCCTATGAGGAAAAGTTGAAGGAGCTAGGTATGTTTAGCCTGGAGAGGAGACAACTTAGAGGTGATACAATAAGCATCTTCAAGTGCCTGAAGGGCTGTCATGTAGAGGATGGTACCAAGTTATTTTCTGTTGCCCCAGAAGGTAGGACCAGAACCAATGGGTTAAAATTAAATCAGAAGAGTTTTCAGCTAAACATTTGTGAGAACGTCTTGACAGCGGTTCCTCAGTGGAACAGGCTTCCTCAGGAGGTGGTGGGCTCTCTTTCTTTGGAGGTTTTCAAACAGAGGCTAGATGGCCATCCGACAGTAGTGCTGATTCCATAAACTGAGGCAGATCATGAGAGGGAGGGCAGAAGGAGGGCAGGAATGGTTATTTGAGAGTTCTCCTAAGGGAAACATAGGTGGAGATTCCTGCTAGTTACCTCTCTCTCGCAAAGCCAATTTGTCTCCTTCGCTAATTCCCCAACAAAAACAGGAGACAGCCCCTTTTGGGCAATGCATAGCATTTGAGGTAACAGTAGAAAGTAATTTGTCATAACACAGAACGTCAAGTAGAGGTGCCCTGCCAATACCTGTATCAATAAACTTTCCTTCTAAAGAAGCAAGTCGTTGATTCTGATTGTTGCAGGAGTCTGACATTAGAACAGATAAAAGGAAGTACCTCTTCAACTATCGAGTAATGAACACGTGAGCATAAACATCTTCAAGAAGGGATTGGATAAACATATGAAGCAGAAGTCCATCAATGGCTATTAGCCACAATGTATAGATGGAACACTATGTTTGGGGCAGTGATGCTCTGTATTCTTGGTGTTTGGGGGGGCAACAATGGGAAGGCTTCCAGAGTTCTGGCCCACTGGTGGACCTCCTGATGGCACCTGGCTTTTGGCCACTGTGTGACGCAGAGAGACTGGACAGGCCAGTGGCCTGATCCAACATGGCTTCTCTTATGTTCAGAGCTCTCTTCCTTAGTAGCATATGATGAAGTGTGCATGCGCACGAAAGCTTATACCCAGAATTAAACATTGTTGGTCTTAAAAATGCCACTGGACTCAAACTTTGTTCTGCTGCTTCAGACCAACACAGCTGACCAACTGAATCTATCTTAATAGCATAGGGGATATTTGCTGATGCGCCAGATGTCTTGTACCAGTAATCAAACCTGTTATTTTACATAGCTTTGCTATATAGCGATTAATCGGCAGATCCCTGTGTAAACATATATTTCACCTATTTTAAATACTGATTTTGAAGGTCTGCAGTAAACAAAGTATGCAGAACAGGCCCTACCCTAACCCTCATAAAGATCAAGTACCCGGGGGCAGAGAGACAGAGGAGGAAGTTGACTTTTAATATAAATGGGCTTTTTTTTAAAAGAGAGATGCCATTTCAAACACATTCACTGAAGAAGGCAGGTGGACACCAGAAGGTAAGGAGTTCCTGCGGTATTATAGCTGTGAGGAAGAAAGGACTTTGTCAGAGAATTTTAAAAATGTAATTGGGGGTTTATAGGTTTATAATGGATTAGATACATGGGGGAGGGGAAGAAACAGAGGAAGAAGTTGACTTTTAATATAATTTTTTTAAGACATCCAATTTTAAACTCAGAGAAGTAAAATAAATACGACTCAGAGGATAAAAAGTTATGAAGGGCAGGGAAACAAAGGGAATAACAACCTCTGGAAGTTATTTTTGTTTAACAACCAGTGTTTATTTTTTTTAAGTTATTTTTCTGACTTCCCTGGCTTCCACTTAATTTCTCATTATGACCTTTCAGGCCTTAGACAATTTAGGTTCCTAGTACCTGAAGAACAGTCCCCATCAACTATTTTAAAAAATAAATCTTGAGCTTATGAGTCTCAGCTGCTGATTCTAACACTTTCCTGATCAGCCCCAGAGCTTCTTTTGAAAAGATCCTGTCCAATGTTCCCTCTAAGCTGTGGCATCTTGTGAGCCAAAATTCTACTTTGTGAGCTACTAGCATTAAAGTTGTGAGCAAGCAGTTTGGCTTCTGTATAAATCAGTTTGCTCTGGAGCCATTCTCCCTGAGCTAAGACAAAAATGTGTGAGCCGGAGGTTAAAAACCTGTGAGCTAGCTCATACTAACTCAGCTTAGAGGGAACACTGATCCTGTCTCTTTAATAGAGGTTTAATAGGGCCACCAAATGAGAAGGGAGCACTCCCTGGAGAAGACCCTGGTGCTGGGAAAGATTGAAGGTCAAAGAAGACGGGGACGGCAAAGGATGAGATGGTTAGATGGTGTCATAGATGCAACAAACATGAAATTGAGCAAACTTCAGAGGATGGCGGAAAACAGGAGGACCTGGCATGATCTGGTCCATGGGGTTGCGAAGAGTCGGACTCGACTGTGCGACTGAACAACAACAACAACAAAATTTACTTGGTGATGTTATTTACCTCCATGCCTTGAAAAACTTCAGCTGCCCATGTCCAAGCCTCTGTGAAAAGGATGGAACATTCCCCCCCACCCCTTTCAAGCTTGCTGCCAAAACTACCTGTGGGGAAAAAGAAGGGTAGGCTTTAAGATCACAATGACCTGATTACTTTCCTGGGAAACTTTCTTTCTAGGATGTTTCGTTTCGTCATCCTCGTGTTAATCTGTTGTGCCATCTCTGTCAGTGCAGGTAAGACCCAGCAGCTGGTCAGTATTCTGAACCACGGGTGTGTGTGTGTGTGTGTGTGTGTGTGTTCTCATTGCCTCATTGGGTAAAAGGAGGCTACTGGGCCTTGGATCTGTAACTACTGCAACTTATTTTAGGGCTGTCTAAGAAACGCTCTGCTTCCCATTCTGGCGAGTACGGAGGGACTGGAGGAACACGCTTCTCACACTCCTTAAACCAGTTGGATGGGTCCATAACTGCCCTTAAGATCTGGGCAGACTCATCATCCATTAAAGGGTATGTATATGAAGATCCAGAGCTGGGGAATTAAAATTTGGAGACTGGGTAGGGTTGCCAAGTCCATCTTCTGCCCCCAGCAAGGGACTTTGGGGGTGTTCCTGGAGGGGGCGGGGCATCCCGACATGATGACATCAAGTTGGGGACGTCCGCCGCCCCGCCCGCCCACCTGCATGCTCAGTCTCCAGAAAGGCCAGTTCCCTGCATTTAAAGGAGCAGGCGTTTCCCCTTTAAGTGCACGGAGCTGCATTTCCCCTTTAAGAACAAAGAGCCGGCATTTCCCTTTTAAGTGCACGCTGACATTTCCCTGCAAGCCTGAGCTCAAGCGGAGATCGGGCTTGGGAAGAAACGTCCATGCACTTAAAGGCAGCCACTCCTCTCTCTCAAGAGAGAAGGGAGAGGGGTGGCTGTGAGTATTTGGGGCGGGTAGAACCCCCCCAAAACGGGGGACCCCTGGCAAACTGACGGGGGGGTTGGCAACCCTAAGACTGGGTATCTAGCGGGGTGGGAAATTAGTCTGTCGATGGATTTAATACACAATAAGGCTTCCCTTTGTGATACAAAATTTAGGTCAGTGTGTTCAATATTAATTTCCCATGGAGAAGATGGCAGTGGTGGATTATGTCTATGCAAAACGTCTGATTTATGTGCGAGCGGAAAGGGAGAGAAAGGGGAAGAGCTTCATCCAGCTTGGCCAATACTAGGCCCATGGTAGAATCCGATCAGGCCCAGGAATCTAAGAAATCCTGAGCTTAATTCACAAAACAGTTTGCAGTGCGTCTGAGCCTTTCTGGGATACGCCTGTTCCCTCTGCTGTAGTGGCCATCAGCCCTCCCCTAGATAGCCAAACCTAGCCGGATCGTGTCAGATCTCAGAAGGTCATTCAGAGTGAGGGAAAGAACGAGAGAGTAAAAGGGAAGGGGGTGAAGGTATGCTAGAGACTGCCAACCTCCAGGTGGAGCTGTTGTTCTCCCAGAATTATGACTACAGAGATTAGTTTTCCTGGAGGAAATGGCTGCTTTGGACGGTGAACTCTATGGCATTATACCCAACTTAGGTCCCTCGCCCCCTTAAACCCAGTGCTCCCCCAGGCTCTACCCCCAAATTTCACAGATCCTAACCCCAGGAAGGGTCAAGAGGAGGGTACAGGCAGAGATGAATGTCGGTGACTTGAGCCTATCCGCTCCTTTCCAGGTCTTAACCTCCCTTCCATCCCTCCAGTTCTGTCAACAACTGGCAATTGTGAACCCTAGCGGGGTGGGGTGGACTGTTCTTGATTCGTATGGATGATATTACTCAAATATGGTCCAGTTCTGTCAACAACTGGCAATTGTGAGCCCTAGCGGCAATATGTGGCAAGGTGAGCTAGTCATCAGAGGGGGCAATTGCCCTCCCACCCGTGCTGTTGTGTGCCAGTGAGCTTACAATCCACACTCTTCTATGGTTTTCACTTTTAAGAACAATGTTTTCACCTGACACTAGCTAGAAGAGATGTTATACAGTGTTCCAGAGAGCTCTGCGGGGAAAGGTGCCCTGACAGGCGATGACTTGCTTCACCCGCCACTCCTTCCTGTGGTAACCCCATTGTCACAGCAATAAGGAAAGCATCGTCTCAGGAAAGGATACATTTTCTTGGCTAAAGGACGTGAGGTCTTTATCTTCTCTCACACAGCCTTGAGAGAAGAGGCATGGGCTGTATGTGAGAAATGAGGAAGAAACGAGGTGCCATTGTGCAAGTAGAGATCACAAGGAAAGGCTGTAATGGGCAGCTAGCTTTGTGCTTCTCGAAATATTACAGCTGATATGGTTACCATTCAAGACACAACTTGTATCCCATGGAAAGCAACGGGTGTCCCTGCAAGGGTGTTGGATAGCAGCAGGTCAAAGGCAGCAGAAGAGATCTGAAGCCCACCCTAACTCTTCCCTTATTCCAGCCTCCAGGTCAAGTACGGGAAGGAGTGGAGCGACCTTGTGGGGAGTTCATCAGGTGACTTGCAGACAATCGAGCTTCGCCCTGGAGAGGCAATCACTCATGTCTCTGGGAAGGCTGATTCGTACATCCGCAAACTTAAATTCCTCACCAACCTTGGACGCCGCTTCACTTGTGGAGCTGACACAGGCACCAGTTTTACTGCCCTTCCAGTCTTTCCAAGAGCTGTCCTGTCATATTTCAGTGGCCGCTCTGGTGCCATCATTGATGCCATCAGTTTCCACTGGAATGTGAAGCGGGACAGTGAGAACTAAACTGTTCGACGGATGGGAGGAGGCGGGGAGGTCTGTCCTTCCCTTCAGCTCTGTGGGCTTTCTCTCTCATTACTATACATAATGATTCCTTCAGCCACCTCAAAATCCAATAATTTTTCTCCTCGTTCACTTATTTTCCCATTTCCAGTATTTCTTCCAGCTGCCTACTTCTTCTCCCTTCTGTCCTCATATACACACTTTGTCCACCTGTTCCACCACCCTTCCAGAGTCCACCAGCTCACCCCAACATATTTTCTGTCCTTCATTGGTTCAAGCAACTGACCACGTGTCCCATTCCTGCCCCATTTCTTCACGGCTTTCTCTCCAGTCAGCTGAGAAGCTTTGCTGGAAATGACTGTCACACAATAAAAAGCAAATTTGAAAATGTCACCCTCTTGATTCCTTGTCTGTGTACTGTTAAAAAACTACGGCTAGGCTCTTCTGAATGGGCGCTGTGCATGCTGGTGCCAGACAGCCTCTGCTGCGGAGGGTGCTTCCTGCGTAGCTGCTGAGATCTGACAAGATCAGGCTAGGCTAGGCCAGAGGTCATTTGGGGGGGATCGCGGGGGATCACAATTCCCCCAGGTGAGGTACAAGGGGGCGGGGACATGACGAAGCCCCGCCCCCTGCTTCTGGCCGCCCCGCTTCTGGCCCTCATTCAGCCAGGAGGAGGCAGGAGAGGAGAGAGGGTAAGTTGCTTCCTCCCTGCCTCTCCCCACCCCTGCCTGCCTGGGGCTAGGGAGGGCCTTCGCGGGGCTTCCTTGCACTCCCGCCGGCCTTGCAGGTCCACCGCCGGGCCCTCATGGGGCTCAGCAGTGGAGCTGCAAGGCCGGCAGCGGCGGCAGGGGCCGTTGGGGGTGTGGTGTGTGGCCTTATGACACACTTCCGGTGATGTCAGGGGGTGTGGCCTTATGACACACTTCCGGTGATGTCAGGGGTGTGGCATATGCTAATGAGTTATGCTAATGAGTTCCCCTAGCTCTTTTTCTATGAAATGACCCCTGGGCTAGGCTATCCAGGGCGACTGCATTTAGCCCTGAGGTGATGGCTGATCTAGTCACATTGATCCATGCCATGGTAACCTTGAGACTGGACTACTGCCATAGGCTCTTAGTGGAGCTGCCCATGAAGGCAATCTAGAATCTGCAACTGAGAGCTTGTTCCTCCTCCCAACGGCTGTTTTGGCACTTAATAAGGCTGGGGGAGGGGGGATGTGTGAAAGAGCCCCTGGTCCCACTGTGCTGTGGTCCGATCAGAACCAATGAATGCCATAACATCCAGTATGGCCCAAAGACACAACTGCATCTGTGAAGAAATGTACGAAGTCCAATGTCCATATGAATGAAGCCTCAATTAAGAATGAAGCCTCAATTATGGATTAAGAGAATGGACAGAACATAAAGTACCAGTGGTGAGAATAAGCAGCATATCTGTGGGTAACAATGATCATGTGGCTCTTTGTACATGACACTAGAGGCACTGAAACTAAAGCATGTAGAATTGTCCCCAAGGGATTGTTCCTGCCCCCATCTACAATTGTCACTTTACAGCCACAGTAATTATGCTCTAGTTCCAAAGAGTTGGGGTATGTCTTGGATTGCATAGATTTAAATTCTTGCTGCTGTTAATATGTTCTTATATGCTCTAAAGCCCAGTGCAGCAATTGGTGGCTAGCAAAGGAAGTTTGCTATTACATTCAGGTGGTAAAGGCTTAGTTTGAATTAGCCTTAATAGTCCCTTCCTTCCTGAGCAGTAGGAATGTTTATAAGCATTGCATGACACCACAGAAGTTCGGCCATGGCCATGGGGTTTATGGGAGATGGTCAGCTCTATACTATTAGCCACCTGTGGTCACCATCTGTGGATATCTGAATCTGCAGATCAGGGCCATGTGGAGGCTAAAGAGATTTTTCTGCACACTTGGGGTACTCTCACATTGACAGAAAAACATTAAAAAAATTAATATGCACAGGGGGTTTAAATCCCCCAAAAGAATTTACCTTGGGCACGTTGGCAGCTGCACGCTGGGTCTGGCAGTGGTGGCTGCACAGCCTGGGAGCTGTGCTGGGCCTGGCAGTGGCACAGCCCAGGACTCTATGCAGGGCCTGGTGGCAGCCACAGAACCCAGGAGCCACACTCAGTATGCCGCTGCTGGCTCAGCTCGGGAGCCACACTAGGCATGCTGCTGGCACCAAAACCCAGGAGGCATGTTGGCCAGGCTGTTGTTAGTGCCACAGCCTGGGAGCTACATTGTGCATGGTGGCAGTGCAGCCCAAGGAAAGTCTGGGGGCTGTGCCAGGCCTGGCAGTGGCTGCTAAACAGCCCAGGGCTCCACGCTGGACCCGGCAGCAGCTGCTAGAAAGCCAGAGAGCCACACTGGGCATTAAATACTGGGTTCAAGATGCATTGCAGTGAACAGCTCTACTTTATTAAGTGATTTCAGGAACAAGACTGAAACACCAGGGCAAAAGCCCTGTTTAAGTAGCGTGCAAAAAAACCACACCCAACTCGCAATGATAGGCTATTTACATAACATTAGTTTCTCATTGGTCACTTCCAGAGTCCTGGTGGGCTATTGTTCTAGAGCTCCAAGCTCAGTCAGTCTCTGGTAGATAGTCCTGGAATGTTCCAGACCTAATACATAACACTGGGGTAGTAGTATATGGGTATACCTCCTGTCAAAATCAGAAGTGTCAAGTCAAGTGTCCTGTCCCCTTTCTGGGGTGGAAGTCCCGCCTTCCCAACCCCCACTGTCCCCCGGAAGTCCAATATCAAATAACATTCCATTCACCTTCATGTTGTTTTTCTTTCTAAATTACCATGTTTTCCCCCAGGATAACAATTTAAAGAAATTACACTCTTGAGGCTTGTAGAGAGCAGTGTGCCAGCCTAATCCAGGTTTTTGCATTTGTGTAGAAAAGAAGTTAAGGTCTGGCCTGCTCCCAACATAGTACTGAGCTATATCAAGAGGCTGATACCTTTGAAGTAGGGCTGCCAAACCGGGGCGGGGGGGCGGGGAAACCCCCGCTTTGGAGGCCCAATTTCCGCAGTGGCGGGCCCCAGGGGAAACCCCACCCCCGCGTGCACGTCACAGGGAAGTGTCGTCATGATGCCAGGCACGCTGGGGGCGGGGCCACAGCCATTTGAGGGGAAAACTCTATGTTTTCCCCTCAAATGGCAATCCCTGTATCCTGACCTTTATCTCCTTCCCTCTCCCCTTACCAGCAATCTAGATTACACAGCAATCTAGATTACACAGCAATCTACCTTTTATCCGCCACCATGGTTATTTATATTTATTATTTAATTTGGTGTACTGGTTAAGAGTGCGGTTTGGCATGGTGTTTAAGAGCACAGACTCTAATCTGGGAGAACTGGGTGTGATTCCCCACTCCTTCACATGCAGCTGTTGGTGTGACCTTGGGTCAGTCATAAATTCTTTCAGAGCTGTTCTCTCAAGGGCAGTCCTCAAAAGAGCTCTCTCAGCCCCACCTACCTCACAGGGTGTCTGTTGTGGGGAGGGGAAGGGAAGGGAGATTGTAAACTGCTCTGAGACTCCTTTGGGTAGTGAAGGGCAGGGTATAAATCCAGTCTCTTCTCTTCTTCTTCTACTTCATTTATACTTCACCCTTCTACCCAGTAGGAACCCAAAGCAGCTTACATCATTCTCCTCATCTCCATTTTATCCTCATAAGAAACCACCCTATAAGGAAAATTAGGCTGAGAATGTGTAACTGGTCATCCAGTCAGCTTCTGCCATCCAGTCAAGCTTCCATAGCACAACCTAGTCTGAAGCTCTAACCACTATACCACACAGGTTTCCATGGAGTAACTGCTGTTAAACAATAGCGAGCAGCCAGTTCTGAGTGAGTTCTGCAACTTAGATGATAGCCAGTTGCCTGGTGGTTGCTGGTGAACCTGGCTGCGTTCAGGCAGCTGGAAACCTAATAGAGGACATTCTGAGTTGTGGCACCGAACCTCTGGAACTCTCTCCTCTTCTGTTGCCACCTTCTGCCAGCAGGTGAAGGCTCTCTTGTTTTGTTTGGCAATCCCTCAGTAATATCTCCGTCCCTGCCCAATATTTCCAGTATTTTAATTGTTGTTTTCATGTCTTTGTATGTATTTTAGCTCTGGTTTAAATTGTTTTAATGATGTGTTTTGGGGTTGGTTTTAATGGTTTTAAAATGTGGTTTTATGACGTGTTCGTTAGCCACCTAGAAGGCCCTTGTGAGGGCAAAAGGGCGGGATATAATTTTTGTCAAATAAATAAATAAATAAATGGGTCTTCTCTCAGAGGCCAAAACAGCCCTGGAAAGAGCTCTGCTCCTTCCCCCTACCTTTTACTGACAGAAACCAAAGTTGAAGGTTGCAATACTACCAACCCCTGACAACAGCCACTGATAAGGCATACATTTCTGAAAGCTACAGGCACTGCTTCTATTATTTGGGGGGAGTTAACTCCCTAGTGTAATTTTTTTTTTGAAATTTCAGGTTTTTCTCCAAATTTGAGGTTTTCCCAGATTTCTATAAAGAAGTGCCCTGTCTGTCCACGGCTCCAGTCTCTGGATTTAAGTTTCCACAGATTTGGCCGTTTTCAGAATTAGATATGTTGATGGTAATACCTGTGCTGCTTTTGTCTCAAGAGTTTATTTTATAGCCCCTGGTCAGCACACTGTATATTTGAAGATAAGTATTTATTTGCAGGTTTAACTGGCCTCAAAACACCTAGGGAAGATATGCTACCTCAGGAATTTTTCAAGCTAAAACTTTGTTGGTGGCCCCCAACTCTTGGAGAAATATTTCACCTCTATTTATAATACTGGTAAATTACTTCAGGGCTGGATTCTAAATAGCAAATTTTTAAACAGTAGAATAACTCCAATACCAAGAATTACAGCTCTGCTGGAAATTTTTGACCAGCCCATACTTCTAAGCAAATACTGATTGTGCAACTTGGAAACCACCTTAAGGAAGATGGCTTCCAAGCTGCACAGTCACTGTTTGGCTAGAAACAGCATTAAGTCTGCAATCCTATGGATACTTCCGTGGGAGTAAATTCCACTGAATGACCGGGGACTTAAGAGGTTGACATAGTCTTTTGAAGAAAAGGCAGCTCTATAGACCATGTGATTTTGAATACATTTCTTGGGAAAACTGAGACAACTGGTCTTTGTTCTTTCTGTAGACTTAGAGGGAGATTATCGCATGATAAGTAGAGTGTTCCTGTGGAGAAACTCTCACATACAAATATTGACATAAAATATTGACATGAACTGGTGGAAATACTCTGTACCAATAAGGTATGCATATTACAGTGGAGCTAGATGGACATTTATCAAACAAAATCTGAACCGTCTACAGGGGGAGAATGAGGGATGTTTGTTTGTTAAACCCTTTTCTTTTTAAATTGATGTGTGAACAACATAGCAGAGGAATTGCAAGAACGAAGATCCTTGACATCATCCATTTTAGGGGGGAAAGAAATCCCAGTTGTGAAATACACTGCAGATTTGACTCTTGTTCTAATGAAATTGGGATGAAATACATACCAGAGGGGAGTGCAGAGTGTTGTGTACAGGAGTTTCTAATAGCAAAGTAAGTATAAATGATAAGTTCATGATGTTCAAGTAGGTCAAATTAAAACTTAATGTCCACAAGTGCTCTCTGAGGAATATCTCAACTGGAAAACTCATATTACTTTAAGAGTAATTAAAACAGAATGGGCACACACAATTCTCCCCCCCCCCAAGAAAGAAACTTGATTATTTCCACAATAAAGGCTTAGTAAGCTGCCTTATATTAAATCAGACAATGGGGTCCATGATACTCAGCACCGCCTACTGTTTTTTAAGAGCACATGACTCAGTGATAGAGCATCTACTTTGTTGAAGGTCCCAGGTTCAATCCCAGACATTTCCAGTGCAAAAAAAGATCTGGTCATAGGTGATATAAAAGTCCACTGTGTGATGGGTGAACTCAAATCCTAAAGACAGTTACAGGTCCAGCCAGCTGGTTTATGAAGTGGAAGAAACATAAACCTCCATCCCCACCAGCAGCTCTCCAAGGTGTTGCCTAGCACCTGCTTCTTGAGATCCTTAAATCTGAGATACCAGGGAATGAGATGTCTGCAAGAGCATACTACTGAGCCACAGCCACTACATGTCTACACATGAACATATGAAGCTGTCATAAGAGAACATGAGAGAAGCCAATGTTGGATCAGGCCAGTGGCCCATCCAGTCCAACACTCTGTCACACAGTGGCCAAAAATACCAGGTGCCATCAGGAGGTCCACCAGTGGGGCCAGAACACTAGAAGCCCTCCCACTCTTGCCCCCCCAGCACCAAGAACACAGAGCATCACTTGCCCCAGACTGAGAGCCCCTATCTATACCTTGTGGCTAATAGCCACTGATGGACCTCTGCTCCATATGTTTATCCAATTCCCCCTTGAAGTCGTCCATTCTTGTAACCTCCACCATCTCCTGTGGCAGTGAATTCCATGTGTTAATCACTCTTTGGGTGAAGAAGTACTTCCTTTTATCCCTTTTAAAAATGGATAAAATGTATTCTTCTCCTGCCAAGTCATATCATTGGTCTATCAAGCTTAGCATTGTCTGTCCTGATAGGCAGTGGTTCTCCAGAGTCTCAGGTCAAGGTCTTTCACATCCCATGTGATCTTTGTAACCAAAGATACCATGGATTGAACTTGGGACCTTCTGTATGCAAAGCAGATGCTCTTCCACTGTGCTATGGCCCCCTACCTAATCTACTTCACAAGGTCAACTTTTTGGGCTGCCTCCAACCTAGGTTGGCCACCTTTGAATTGTTAGCAGGCTGTGCCGCATTGACCGTGGAGTTTATGTTCCTTGTTGATGAATTTGTAAGTGTATTATCCCGGATGGGAGACCAGGAGGTTATCATCAACGTTACACCTGTGGGAGGCTTGAGAAGTTTTTCTCATTGTTTCATTCAATACAGAATTATTTTCTCTGTAATAGCGACTGGGGAAGAATTCCTAAACAAACAAGGGAATTATACCGTCCAGGACCTTGTATCGCTGTTACCGGCTCCTCTGAAGGTACTATTCCTCATTGTTGTTGCTACTTCTTCTTTTCGTGATTGTTGTGTCTGAATGTAATGACTGTGCATTGTTATTGTAACTGCAAGTTTGAAGGTTATTGTTCCTTAGTATATAGGATGTTTCTGCTATCTGACAGTTTGATTGTTTAATTACATCCTATTTGGTCTGTTGGCAACTGGAAGCTTGTTATTTTTGTGAATGTATTGATACTGATGTTGTAACTGACTACAGTGTGTATTGTTCTCAATAGAGTTACTGGTGTAACTTTCACATGATTTGGGAGTCTCTGGAAGGCAGTCCATTTTCGGAGTTTTATATTATTGGTTATAGCAACCTCCAGGCTCCACCTGGAGCGACCCTGGATTTACAACTGATCTCCCCTGGAGAAAATGGCTGCTTTGGAGGGTAGACACCATGGCATGATACCCTGATGAGGTCCCTCCCCTCGCCAAATCCCACCCCCTGGATCCACGCCAAATCTTTGGGAATTTTCCAACCCAAAGTTGGCAACCCTATGCCTAGCCAGCTTTTTAGCTGGTGAAAAAGAAAGGACGAATCCCCTCCCAAAGGCTAGGCTAGGGATCGTAGGGCCCACAGGGACAGAACCCATGTGGGGGAAGGGCCTGTAGTGAGGACAGGAGTTGGGCAAGATTGTGTGGGGAAAAATGGTTGGACCCCACCCTTTGTGCCTTTTCTCATAGTTCACTGTGATATATACTACCCTGTTTCCCCGAAAATAAGACCTACCCCAAAAATAAGCCCTAGCAGGATTTCTATGCATTTGTGGTATAAGCCCTATTGTGTCTTCTTGAGAAAAAAATAAATATAAGACAGTGTCTTATTTTTGGGGAAACACGGTACCACTTATAAACATTTTGTAGAGGAAAATTTCTTAAAGCACCTGACATTTTGTTTGGGTTGTCTGCCTCTAATCGTTTTTGTTTTGTTTTGTTTGTTTGTTTTGTATATTTAGGATGGAAGACCTGTCAAGATGATGCCAACTGCACCTCCCATGGGAGGGAGTTCCACAAATTCCGACATACTGTGAATTAAGGACCTCCAAAATGTCCCATCATTAACAGCCTCGTTCAGGTCCTGCAAACGGAAGGCCCTTGTGGCTTCCTTGATCGAGTTAATCCATCTCGTGCTGAGTCTTCCTCTTTTCCTGCTGCCTTCGACTTTTCCTAGCATTACTGTCTTTTTTAGGTGGGTAGCCATGTTGGTCTGAAGCAGCAGAACAGAGTTGGAGTCCAGTGGGGCAGTGGTTAAGTGTGCGGACTCTAACTTGCCAGCCTCCAGGTGGGGCCTGGGGATCTCCCGCTTTTACCACTGATCCCCAGCCGACAGAGATTAGCTCCCCTGGAGACAATTGATGCTTTGAAGGGTGGACTCTATGGCATTGTATTATGTTGAGGCCTCTCTCCTCCCCAAACCATGCCCTCTCCTGGCTCCACCCCCAAAGTCTCCAGGTATTTTCCAACTCAGACTTGGCAACCCTACAACAGAGTTTTATTCAAAGTATAAGCTTTTGTGTGCAAACACACTTCGTCACACACTGCATCTTGTCTTCTCGTGATGTGACCAAAGTACGCTAGCCTCAGTTTAGTTGTTTTAGCCTCTAGGGGGAGTTTGATCAAGAACCCTCTTATTTCTCTCTTTGGTGGTCCATGGTATCTGTAAAACTCTCCTCTGACACCACATTTCAGATTAATCAATTTACTTCCTATCAGCTTTCTTCACTGTCCAACTTTCACATCCATACAAATACTGATTAGCCAGCTTCAGTCTTTCCTGGGCAGAAAAAATCTGGCCACTGTGGTGCATGCCCTGGTTGCATCTAGATTTAGGGTTGCCACCCCCCTGGTCGGGGCAGCGGATTCCCTGATTTTGGGGGCCCCAATCTGCAACCAGCCAGCTGGCCAGCCGTGGAAGCCCCACCCCCAGACAGCAGCGTCCCATAGAGTTTTTGCCCTGAACGCTAGAGTCCTATGGCACGGGTGCCAGAGGTGGCACTCAGAGCCCTCTCTGTGGGCATGCGTGCCATCGCCCCAGCCAGGCCCAGACCATCATTAAAGTGTTGAATTCTCTGCCAAATAATTTTAAGTAAATGAAAGCATTTGGGATTGCTTTCCTTACTTTGTTTGGATCATCTTAAGTTAATGTATGAGTTGTTTTTCCTAAAGTAAAACCTCAGTATTCAGGTTAAATTGCCGTGTTGGCACTTGGTGATAAATAAGTGGGCTTTGGGTCGCAGTTTGGGCACTCGGTCTCTAAAAGGTTCGCCAACACTGTACTGGACATTCAGAGGTGGTTTGCCATTGCCTGCCTCTGCGTAATGACCTGGACTTCCTTGTTTGTCTCCCATCTAAATATTAAGCAGGGCCGACCCTGTGTAGTTTCTGAGATCGGGCGACATCCGGCTAGCCTGGGCTATCCAAGTCATTCTGTTATATAGCTTGGCTGTAAAATTGGTCAGCGGATGTTTATTTTAAATTTAAGTGTTTATTTCATTTATTTTAAATATTTATCTTTATAGATCAACAGCAGATGAAGTATGCAAATCAGGCCCTGCCCCCGGTTTAGGACTTAATGGCTCTGGCACACAAAGGAGGGTGGAAGAAAACAACAGAGAAGGAAATCGACTTTGTATATAAATGGCTGAGTGTTTCAAGAGGCACCATTTTAACGCAACAACAGAAGGAGCCAGGACAGGCGGTGGACTCCAGAAGACAAGAAGCTCCTTTGATACTGCAGCCGTGAGGGAGAAGAAGTTCTTAAAGGTAATTCTGGGTTTACGGAGGACAAGGGTACCAGAGTGATAAAAAAAGATGTATGAAGCGCCATGGAAAGAAGGAGAATGAATAGGTGACAACCTCTGGAAGTCACTTTGTATTGAGGAAGCCAGTATCCACGCAAGAGGTATCATGTGAAAAAGATGGTGAAAATTGGATCTTCCAATTTGCAGGAGCCGGTTCTAATACTTCCCTGAAAAGGCCTGGAGCTGCCCGGAGGGAAGGAGAAATACAGTCTTTAGTAGACGTGGTGAGGGAATCCACATGCATCAGTAAATGTGTGCATGTGTGGGTTTTGTCTTTTTTATTTTTACAGAAAGTGAAGTGTATGGATGAGGGGAACTAAACCGTGCCCCTTTGCCTGCCTTATTTTACTGTGTTGTATCGTTCTCTAAACGTTTGGCTTCCACCACGGTTCACTCCTCATATCAAAGCCGGAATGGGCAAAAAAATGTCTCTAACAGTAGAGCAGAGTAGTCCTGTTCACATCATGTGACAGTGAACACATGTACAAACTGTATTGTATGTATGTAACCTGATTATAAAGGGGCAGCAGGTGGCTCAGAGGTTAAGATGCTGAACTGTAGACTGCAAGGCTGGTAGTTTGGTAGTTGTCCGAGACCCAGGTGCTGCGTGACGGAGTGAGCTCCCGTCTCTGGCCCCAGCTCCTGCCAACCTAGCAGTTCAAAAGCAAGAAATTGCAAGTAGGTAAATAGGTACCGCTTTGGTGGGAAGGTAACAGCATTCTGTGCACCTTGGCATTTAGTCATGCTGGACACATGACCATGGGGACATCTTCGAACAACACTGGCTCTTCGGCTGGAAAACGGAGATGAGCACTGCCCCCAGAGTCAGATTCGACTGGCTTTCAAGTGAGGGAAACCTTTACCTAACCTGATTATAGGAAACAGCCAGTGTGCATTCACTTTACAAATGAAACCTGGCTAAATCAAATGCTCAGCTGTTAGGGTTGCCAGACCCCCAGACAGAGGTGCGGGCCAATGCTCCCTTTAAGCTGTGGATTCTTGTGAGCAAAAAATCTACTCTTGGCATTAAAGTTGTGAGCGAGTGATTTGGCTACTTTATAAATTAGTTTGCTCTGGAGCCATCCTTCCTGAGTGAAGACAAAAATGGGTGAGCCGGAGGAAACTGTGAGCTAGCTCACACGAACTCGGCTTAGAGGGAGCACTGGTGGGGGTTCCCCCCACTGCCAGGCCCTGCCCCTCAGCCATCAATCCACTGGCCAGTGGGGGGACTTACCAGGAGAAAGAGGAAGGCCTGATGGCACCTGGGTTTTGGCCACTGTGTGACACAGAGTGTTGGACTGGATGGGCCGTTGGCCTGATCTGGCATGGTCTTTGTTATGTTCTGTTAAGGTCTAGTCTACATTACCAGTGTTGCACAGAAAGTGATGTCATCACACCAGGGACTTCCAGGCGATGCTCCAGAATTTGGGCAAAAACTCTATGGCAGAAGCCGGTTTTACCATAGAGCTTTTGCCGAAATACTAGAGTGTCACCCGGAAGTCAATGTGGCCTGGGCATTTCCCTATCCCCTATGATTTGAGCCCAAATTTACCATAGAGTTTTGCCCAAAAACCAGAGTGCTGCTGTGCGGCGCGTTTCAGGGCATTTGCGGACGGGGAAATTATTGCAGGGGGAATTATCTCTGTCATCTGGGAATCAGCTGTAAATCTGGGAGATCTCCAGGGTCCTGGGGGCCAATGCTCCCTCTAAGCTGTGAAGTCTTGTGAGCAAAAATTCTACTTTGTGAGCTCCTGGCATTGAAGTTGTGAGCGAGTGATTTGGCTGCTGTATAAATTAGTTTGCTCTGAAGGCCTCCTTCCTGAGCGAAGACAAAAATGGGTGAGCCGGAGGCTAAAAAACTGTGAGCTAGCTCACACAAACTCGGCTTAGAGGGAGCACTGGTGGGGTCCCCCCCACTGCCAGGCCCTGCCCCCCAGCCATCAATCCACTGGCCAATGGGGGGACTTACCAGCAGAAAGAGGAAGTCCTGATGGCACCTGGGTTTTGGCCACTGTGTGACACAGAGTTTTGGACTGGATGGGCCATTGGCCTGATCTGGCATGGTCTTTCTTATGTTCTGTTAAGGTCTAGTCCACATTAGCGGTGTTGCACAGACAAAACTTAAGTTCTACATCTTAGAAGAGGTATTCTATTATCTCTGTCGTAGCACATACAAACAAAGAACGAATTTTTTTTCATTAGACCCCTATGCAGATACAGCTGATTAATCAAGTGAAACTTAAACAGCCGATCAACTAAAATTTATTTACTTTGCTTAATGAGATTGTTATTCTGTGGCACGGCATCTAGTGGCCTGGATGCTCCAGAACACAAGTGTAAGGGCCAGGGCTTTTTTTTTGTAGAAAAAGCCCAGCAGGAACTCATTAGCATAATAGGCCACACCCCTGACAGCAAACTCATTAGCATATTAGGCAACACCCCTGACAGCACAGCTCATTAGCATATTAGGCCACACCTCCCATGTTACCAGAAGTGTGGTCATCCAGCCACACCCACCTTTTGCTTCTTATTCTGTTTACTTTGTTGTCAAAACCCAGGGCTTTTTTTGTAGCAGGAACTCCTTTGCATGTTAGGCCACACACCCCTAATGTAGCCAATCCTAATGCGTTTCTGCTGTTGGATGTGGCCTATTATGCTAATGAGTTCCTGCTGGGTGTGGCCAACTCAGGAGCCAGCCGGAACTCCGTTCCTGTGCGTTCCTGCCCAAAAATAGCCCTGTCAAGTATTCTGCGTGTCCTCCCCGGTACTAAGAGGCTGCTCTGCCTTGGCTCTAACTAATTTCCCACCCCCTGCATCTTATTTTAGGAGCAATTAAGAAACGCTCTGCTTCCCATTCTGGTGAGTATGGGGGGAACTCAGGCTCCCGCTTCTCGCACACCGTAAACCAATTGGATGGACCCATCACTTCCATTAAGATTCGAGTCTACTCCTCATACATTACGGGGTAAGTTAATGAAGATCCAGAGCTGAGAATTTTTTTAAAAGGTCCATTGATGGATTGAATAAACAGTACCATTTTCCTTTGCAATATAAGATTTAGGGCAGCATCTATACAATGAGTTTCTCTTGAAGGAGGCAAAAAGTCTAATATATTCAAACAGAAGGACAGAGAAGGGGGAAAGAAAGGGATACTGCTGTCAACTTTACTATTACGACTACAAATAATAATAAAAATTCATTTATAGGCCATCTTTCTCACTTTGACTCAAGGCAGGTTACAAAATATGAAAAGCAATTAAATCAGACAGCAAAGGTCACCAGTAAACAATGCAATAGGACTAGGGTTACAGAGGTGGAAAACAAATGCAAACACAAAGTTATCTTAGGCGTGATTACATACCATAATGGAGTAAGTAGGTTACAAAGGTGGGAGGACATTGTAGTGAAAAGGGAGGTGATCCACGCAATAAACATGGCAATAAATAGGGGTGCCGACCTCCAGGTGGTGGCAGGAGATCTCCCACTATTACAACTGATCTCCAGGTGAGATCAGTTCCCCTGGAGAAAATGGACTCTATGACTTTATATCCCTCTCATAAAACCCCACCCTCCTCAGGCTCCACCTCCAAAAATCTCCGGGTGTTTCCCAACCTGGAGCACATGGCGGGCACCTAGGGGAGGTGCCTGAAAGCACCCTGGTGCCCGTGGCCGTGGGCACCACATTTTGGGGGGTATTTGTGTATATTTGTGCCTGGAAGTCATGGTTGACTTCTGGTGATCCCTAGTGGGGCTTGGACATTTCAGAGAGGTGGCTTGATTGCCTGCCTCGGCATCCCAGCCCTGGTATTCCTTCCTGGAGGTCTCCAATCCCAGTACTTGCCCCTGGGCACCACACTGAGGAACATTGCTCCCTATATTTCTACCCTCTGGGTCCAATAATCAGCTTGGTTCAGGGGAGAATGAGATGAAAAGATAAAGCTCCTCCCTCAGTATCATTGTGCCAGTCCTGTTTTGTACATTTTTGTGGCTGCTTCTAAGGTAAAATTAAGGTGTGGGGAAACCGGTGCAAAATGGAGGGTTTGTTTGTTTGTTCAGGGTTTGTATTCTGGGAGGGGAATGCTGCTGTAGGAAGGTGGGGCTGCGTCATCCATCATTTCTTTCATACTTGGAAGATCCTCTCTGTGTCCTTGATAATCCCCACGGGGTAGAGCAGCAGTACAAGCACTGTCTTGGGAGAGTATGCTGTGCGTGGCTGAAAACCAGGGGTCGTTTCGTAGAAAAAGAGCTAAGGGAACTCATTAGCATAACTAATTAGCATATGCCACACCCCCTGACATCACCGGAAGTGTGTCATAAGGCCACACACCCTGACATCACCGGAAGTGTGTCATAAGGCCACACACCCCGCCCCCAATGGTCCCGGC